ATGCCTGGGTTAAAGTCGGGGTCATCGACTTACTTGAGGCCCAAGAAACTCGGTTTGTAGATTGTTCATTACCTTTTCTTGTTTCAAAGGAAAAAATGGAAAGATGAATTTGTACAATTTTTTTTATTTGATATATTAAGAAGCCATGGGTACATTTCTTTTTGAAGTTGCTATGGGTTTTTGCAGTTATTTCAAGCAAAACAGGTTTGTACCATGTAATTCTTGTACTTCCTGGAAATTCAACATGTGTTTGTCCAAAACTCAAAAGCTATCAGTTATAAGATCGAAATTCACTTGAATGCTATATAAACTGGCTTATCAGCTAATTATCTCAAATATAGCATATGTTAGGTAAATATAACTGAAAAGCTAGCCGATGACTGAAATTATTCGATAAAATTAGCTACTAAATCAATTTTACTTTTTTTTTTTCAAAAAGACGATTAGATAAACTTATGCTTCATCTTAAAAAAAAAACACTCATCCTATCAAATTAAATTTATTTGAATAAAATATCTTATAAGCCAATCTCATAATTTAAGTTTGTTCGATTTTGCGAAACCAACAGTTGGCTCCATAATAGAACCAACCTTCTATATACAACATATAAATCTAATATATTAATAAAATTATATTATTGTAATCTAAGTAATCCGAAAATATGATAAGTTTACTTGTTGTATACAGAAAGTTAGCTCCACTATGAAGCCAACTGTTGGTTTTTGTTCTCTTGTGGAAATACTTTAATTTTGGGATAAACATAAGATTAATTACTTTACTATTTTCCTATTTAATAACAATTAATTACCTCTTAATTTTTTATTTCACATGGGCCCTAATGATTCTAGATGTTGGTTGATAAACTAGGAGCAAAGAGTGGCAAAATTTTGGTGAGACAAACAAAAATAAACCTGCTATCCATTGTTCTAGATAGAGTTACAATTTAATGGCCTAGCTAATAATGTATGCAAGCCTAGAGACATAATAACAACAAAAATGCACCAAAGAAGCAAAATCAATTTAATCTATAAGTTCAATAATAAGCATTGCACAATTTCTAATAGATCCATACAATATTGGATAAATACTCCAAAATCAAAAGATGTAACACAGAACTTGGGCTCGAAACAAAACCGAGACACAAGACAAAAATGTAAAAAACATGATCAAGCCTTCCTAGGTTTGTTGCTTGCTGCCAACTGAGATTCAGGCTGTGCAAAATAAAGCAAGAAAAACCAGACATTAATACATCAAGAAAATTATTTGAAGAACTGAAATTAAAACGATAAATCCATCACATTTTCAGATATATACCTCTTTCTTGACAGGCTCTTCCTTTTCCGAAAGTATCAACTCAATGTGGCAGGGGGAGGACATGTAAGCTGACAGGAATTTATTCAAGTTTAGTTCAGATTTTTCAATGAAAAAGATAAAAATAACTCAAGCTCAGCATTCTACATCAATCATTTTACCGTAAAACAGTTCAAAAAAATAAAGTTGTGCAGTAACTTGAACATAAAAAAACACATAACATACGGTTAATTCGTCCATGAGCACGATACGTGCGGCGCCTTTGCTTCTGAGCCTGGTTAACCTGAATATGAGAAATATAGAGTGCATCCACATCCAAACCTTTCACCTGCCCAAAAAAAAAATAATAACCAATAATTTTTTAACCACAGTAAATCGTAAAAATCATAAACCATTGATGGTGTACCTCAGCATTGCTTTCAGCATTCTTGAGTAAATCCAGGATAAACTTGGCAGATTTAACGGGCCAACGACCCTGCCCATTAGAATGTCTGTTCTTTGCCTGAGCAGTTCTCCCAACGCCTCCACAGAAACGAGTGAATGGGATAGCCTGCTTGTGGGCAAGCACATCTTCTAAGTATCTCTTGGCCTTGGTAAGTGGTAGCTTACGGATAGCATGTGCAGTCTCTCTGGTGTTCTGCAAAGATTTCAAAGCAGGCATATGAGTACAAGAGATCCAAGATATATAATAAAAGCAGTGTTCGCCTAAACGGCCGTTTAGACCGTTTACACGCTGTTTAAACGGTAAACGGCGCTATGGTGTGCAGTTTAGCGAATAAACGGTAATTAAACGGGCTAGCCGTGTAGACGGAAAAAAACCGTGTAAAATGTGTAAACGGGACGGTATTAAACGGTATTAAACGGTATTAAACGGCCTAAACGGCCGTTTAGGCCGTTTACACGGTCCGTTTTGGAAATAGAAGCGGTTGGGCAGGAGAACAAAAAATTGATCCGTTTTGTGAGAACTATATATGCGTGCAGTGTGTTACTAACTGTTGTGTTGTAAGATGAACACCTGTGATGTTGACTGTTGTGATGTTATCTGCAATTTGCATATGGGCTATGGCTATGTCATTGACTCATAAGTCATAATATTAATACTAATGTAGTTAAAAACGTGTAATCCGTTTAATCCCGTGTACACGCCGTGTACACCGTCTAAACACTACACGTGCCCTCGCCGACTGTTTACCGTTTAGCGTTTAGGCTAACACTGAATAAAAGTATAAAGAAAACACACCTAATACACAAAATCGTAATTTGGAGTATTTTTCTAACATAATTACAAATTTTCCAAGTCATCCACAGGGTCACAGTTAAACATCAAGGAAATACTCAATGGTTCAGTGGAGTAAAAGTGACACAAATGATCAACTTATAGAACTAAATTACTATGATAGTTCACAAGAACATGTCAAAGTTTGTTGAGAGCAAGGAAAACAGCAAGAGTGAATTTCACAAACCTAGAATTTTAGTTAATGTTCAACAAGTTTAATAGATAGACAGCTACCCGAGGCATAAGTCAGACTGAATTACGAAAAACAAATTTTGGGAGCAACTTCTGGTCCTTCATCAGTTCATGCCTTCGAATGTAATGAACTAAAAAAAATTACTCCCTAACTATAAGTTCACTCAGTGGCAGCACATCCATAATTATGCAACAGCAGATAGCACCTAAACACTCAAAAGGTATATACAGTATTAGCAGCAGCTGAAAAATGCAGCAATTTTGCATTGTTTACTGAACCTTCAATCATCAACACACTCAAGAGGTTCACCCAATAACATCGCACAATTTAATGTCCCTGATGTGTACGAGAGATCAATTCACAAAAGGCAACAGATCCCTGCTTTTTTCACCAGGTTAAATTCAACAAAATCTCTAACCATTTAATTTAAACCA